GGCTGATGCTAATGCTAATAATGCTAATGCAAGGATAATAAAATGGCGGCTTCACAAAACTTTTTGGGAGTTTTACGGGGCGTGGTTTGCAATCCTTCCAGCCAATCAGACATAGGAACCTTGTTCTCCCACGAAAGTGGGACGGAAAAGGGGGTAAAAAAGGTTCTCATTAACTAATTTTAGTTCCGGCTCTTTTTGGTGTGAACGCAACATTTCGGAACTATATCGGAACTAAAGTGGGAAAAGTACTGCGGTGTGAACGCGCCTAATGATAGAAACTGTGCAGAATAGTCAAACAGATGAAAGTTATGTATGTTCTTTCAAAAGTTCAGGTGTCGAGTCTCCTGACACACCGGGGACACATGTATAAAGACATTATGAAAGTGCATTTTGCAGGATAGGAGACTTTTCAAACTACGAAACAGCAAGATAATTGGTGGCCCTGCTGCAGCTCCGTGGGGGGCTCAGGTCTGCGGTGGTCCTGCTCCGTGGCAGAGAACACGTCTCTGGTTTCCTGTTAACCGGTTCCAGCAGCGAGGCAGAGTGTGTCGTACAGTTGGTAATGATTTACAGAAAGATCAGGGCCTCTGCTCTCCGTTTCTCATCCAAGAAGACGTCTCGTGCTTTCCTGAATAATCTCAATCTCAATCTTTATTTATTTATAAAGCACATTTAAAACAACCTCAGATGACCAAAGTGCTGTACAGAGAACAAATACAAAATAAAATAATAATTAAAAACAAGATATACACACATACGAATAATAATAACCCTAACCCCAACGTCATCTCACGGCGCTTCTGAGGAGGATATTGAACAAAATATGGTTCTATAAAAAAGGTTAAGAGCACAAAAGAAGGTCTTGAAGTTCTTCGAAAATCGATTTGTGACTCTAGACTTCTGTCCTCGGTCATCTGTCTCTGGAGAAGCGATGACGTACTTTGACTTTATGCAACCTCAGTTGATTGTTTATTCCTATTTTGTTTATGTTTTTGGTTTCTGTACTTCTTGAGTTCTTGAATAACCAATTTTTGTTTATTCCCTTTTTTGTATTTATCTTATTGTTTCCTGAATGTTTTGAGTTCTTGGAAAATCAATGTGTGACTCGAGGCTTGAGATGTTTGTCTGTATTCTGGTCCTGAAATCATTCGGGATGTCTCTATCAGTCAGGGAGACATGTCGATGGTTTGAAGCAGCAGAGGCACTATCCTGTCTCTGGAGACGTATATTTATTCTGCTTTTATAAAACGGTTACCAAGTGTGGCAATATGAAAGAAAATACACACTCTAATTTAAATAGTTTTATTAGTAAATAATGATGTTCAAAATAAAATAGTCCCTCCGTTGCCTTCTGCACGAAACATAGTGCGAGGTGGTTGCTAGGCAACAACACTAACAGCTAGCGATCAGATTAGACAGAGAGCGTTGATCCATTATTTGGCTATTTATTTACATGAATGTGTTTGTTGTGCAGCCACTGAAAACCTGTCCAGCATCAGTAGCATGGCTTACGAGGTTACTTGTATAGGTTGAGGTTGTACAGGTTCCTCGGCGTGTCGAGAATATTGCTCCACTTTCTCCGATAAGTTGGTCTACCTGCTCTTCACGTAGCTCTGCATGTCGTCGTGTAGGTGCTTTCTGGAGGTAGGCGCTAGTGCTCAATCCACTCCTCCATAGTGAGACCCCCCGGAGGTCCAAGTTAACCTTACATGTTTCCATCTTAAGCTTTGATAGTTAGTTAGTTTCGTAACGGACGTAATGTAACAGCTGTAACGGTTGTAGCTCTTTCTCAGACGCGGAGGGATACTGACTAAAGTAAAGTAACTACAATTCTACCCGTGATATACGCTCATTATATCACGGCTAAGAACCAATCAGATTGCTTGATTTGACTTATCCGTTTTATAAAGACCTTTTGATACCTTAAGTTTTTCTCTATTTTGTTTTAGTTTCCTGAACTTGTTGACTTCTTGAAAAACCAACTCGAGATGATTCTCTGGATTTTGGTCCTTTGCTGAGTCGTCTATTTGGGTTTCCTGAAGTTCTTGAGTTTTTTTAAATATACATTTGTGACTAGATGTGTCTCTGGATTTTGGTCCTCAAATCTTTTGGGATTTAGGTCTGTCAGTCAGTTAGACGTACTCCATGTTGCATGATTTCAAACAGTCGAGGCACTCTCCTATCTCTAGAGACTTCATGACGTTTATCGACTTTATTTAACCTTCGCTTTTCTGGTTTATTTGTGTTTTGTTTCTGTTCCCTGAACTTTAGGAGTTCTTAAAGGGATAGTGGAAATACGCGAATTTTGGGTTTAACTTATGTATTTTTATTAAAAATAAGCATAATAAACAATTTTTTTTAATTTCATGCGCCTAGTTTCATTTTATTTTCAATTTTACTGCGCCCTCTCAATGAAACGAAATACTTCGGGAATCGTCGGGAATCTTCGGGTGATGACGAGAGCATAGGAAGACGGGCACAAACAATGGCGGACATTCAATAGCATTTGCATGTGAATAGCCGACCTTTATTATGGTGAATAGATGTGTCAATACTTTATACCGAGTATATTGCCATAAATATGATGATTGATTATCAGTAAAAAATTCTACGTGACACAAAGACATTGGATTAACCTTGAGATGCGTTTTTATTCCGTTGAACACAACTTTTGATCACAAATCAAAAAAGGTAAGACGTAATTATTGTAATATGTTTGGAACCGGATGTTGTTTACTTTCTCTTTTCTGGCTGATAGCTCCAGGAATTCGAGGTCTTACAGTGATGATGACATTACATGTGTGGAATCTGTGGAGTCTCAGCTTTAAATCGTATATCTTGTTTGTGCAGTTAAGATAGTAATAAGGGCATTTCCACCGTGTGTTGTGTGTAAAAAAGCGTTAGCATTAGTTAGCATTGTTTCGCTCAATGCTAATTCAAAGGCTTGGTATTACTCTTGTGTTTTTTCTAGCTAACAATTGTTCTTATTGTCAGTTAGCGGAGTTTCTTACCTTTAAAAGGGTATGAAACATTAATAGTTTCATAAATGTTAAGAAGCCCTGAGACATGTGAGAGAAAAAAAACTGTGGGAGGGGTCCACTGGGCGGACCTTCGGCCTTAACTGGTTAACAATGATTAATATTTGTAAAGGCTACAGGTGATCTTAAGATGCGTGAGCTATGCTTAGGGACCTACCAGTCAAGATTATTTGTGCGTAGGGGTGCATCATCTGGCGCCTGGTCCTGGTCATCCTCGCCATTGCCCATGCCGTGAACCATCACCTCGGGCTCGGGCTCGAACAAATAAGGACGTAATGGTCCATCGTCTGGCTCAATATTGTCACCATCGTCGCTTACTGAACCGGATTCAGATTCAGTTCCTAAAACGACATTTTCGTAGGAAAGCCGAGAGGATGTTTCTGACTCGCTATCATCACTGGATACCTCGTACAATCCTTCTTCTTTGTCTGGTATATTTGCCCTTCCACGTTCATTCTGCATAGACGCCATGGTTTGTTATCGTATCGTCTTCCTGAGTTTTCGTCACTTCCGGTTTGGCTGAGTCGAACATTTCGTTTCTAAAAAACTTCGGGGAAGCTGCAATAAAGTGCTTCTAACATGCGTAAGGCAATTATTATATTTTTTTAATCAGGTGTGATTGTTTTGGTACGTAATTATGCTTGTATATAAGTTAAAACGAAAGAATTTGAGGTTCCATTTCCACTATCCCTTTAAAATATCAGTTTGTGTCTCAAGATTTTGGTCCTCAGGTCATCTGGGATTTAGGTCTGTCGGTCAGGGAGACGTACTCCATGTTGCATAAAACAGAAGGGGCACTTTCCTGTCTCTAAAGACGTCATGACGTTTATTAACGCAATGCAACTTTAGTTCTTGTTTCCTGAACTTCTTGAAAAGTCCATTTGTGACTCGAGGCACAGTGAAGCACTTCCAGATTTTTGAAATATACATTTTTGACTAAATGTGTCTCTGGATTCTTGTCATCGGGTCATCTGGGATTTAGGTCTGTCAGTCAGGGAGACGTACTCTATGTTGCATGATTGAAAACAGAAGAGGCACTTTCCTGTCTCTAGAGACGTAATGAAGTTTATTAACGCAATGCAACTTTAGTTCTTGTTTCCTGAACTTCTTGAAAAGTCCATTTGTGACTCGAGGCACAGTGAAGCACTTCCAGATTCCCAAGTCAAGAAAAACATTGTCCATAAATGTCAACGTTCCTCTTTAATACTGACAATTTAAGTCCTTCAAAGCTGCAGCGCCTGAGGACAGAGTACTTCTGACTTCTCCCTTCATCCCTTATTGCCTTTTTTCTTCTTTTGCTACCGAGGCTAATCCTTCCTCCGTCCTCTGACATCTAGTTTCCTGACTCTTAAACATCACAGTGTCACATAATTCAACAAGAACATGAGACTACAACATGTCCTGTCCAGCATTTGATGTAGACCAATTAAGGTGGGGGAGCTGCCGGGCCACAAATACATACATGTAAACACACACACACACTCACTCACTCACTCTCTCTACCCTCTACCGACCTACACACAGGTATAAAAGCCGCCCATGTGTTTCTAGTCTTGTTCCTTATGGGCCACATGATACACTTCCCGTCTCAACAGGAAAACTGTCCTGTAAACCAGCCTCATTAGCCACTGACGTGTGTGTGTGTGTGTGTGTGTGTGTGTGTGTGTGTGTGTGTGTGTGTGTGTGTGTGTGTGTGTGTGTGTGTGTGTGTGTGTGTGTGTGTGTGTGTGTGTGTGTGTGTGTGTGTGTGTGTGTGTGTGTGTGTGTGCGTGTGTGTGTGTGTGTGTGTGTGTGGTGTGTGTGTGTGTGTGTGTGTGTGTGTGTGTGTGTGTGTGTGTGTGTGTGTGTGTGTGTGTGTGTGTGTGTGTGTGTGTGTGTGTGTGTGTGTGTGTGTGTGTGTGTGTGTGTGTGTGTGTGTGTGTGTGTGTGTGTGTGTGTGTGTGTGTGTGTGTGTGTGTGTAGGAGCGACCCCCCCGGCAGGATCCAGTAAGCAGCAGCCGCCCCCCCCGCCGCTCTACAGAGGCTGCAGCAGTAGAGGACCTGTTTGATGACTTTTGATCCGTTGACTTCCACTCTTTTCCCTCAGGACTACACAGAGAGAGGACACTGGGTGTTATGGGATGGTAAAGGTGGATTGTTTGTGTACTGGATTTATGTGTTAAAGGGTTAAATAATTTGAAAGGGATTGTTCCTGTTACAGCATAAAGAATGGGGGATACATGAAGGTGAAACGTCAGGTTTGCACTCGGTCATATCCGACTCCTCCTTGGAGACTCGTTTACAGATAATAAACTTTCACCTGATTGTATTTTACGATTTAGATTGTCTCATTTGATGAGTGTGTAAGCTGAGGTGCAGAAATCTGGTTTATTACTGCAGAAAAATACAAATCTCAATGTTAAAATATATAAATAAACATTAACAATCGTTCTAATCCTCGCTGCAATCACCCTGAGGAACCACTAACATGTCCTTACATTATATTTTTATAAATCGGGAAACGTAACCCATTTTCCATAACCTTCATGAACTGGAAGTGAATTGTGATTTCTACAATTTAATAAAACTTGTGATTGTAATTTTTGAACCAATAAACAGTTTTCATGTGTGATCTCTGCAGTGCCTGTGAACTCATCTCTGATTGGCTCATTTGTTGTTTTCGAGGATGCGAGGCATACACTAATGTTTACAGAAGTAAAGATATCTCTTAGCTGTGATTGGTTGTTCCTCGTCACATGACGGATTATCTCGCCTTGATTGCAGAATATTTTTAACATTAAAGCATCGAGACGTGTCCCAGTAGAGAAACGACATACTGATATACACCTGAACATCTGCAGGAGAGGACTCTTTAAAGTAGAGAAACGACACACTGATATACACCTGAACATCTGCAGGAGAGGACTCTTTAAAGTAGAGACACTACATACTGATATACACCTGAACATCAGCAGGAGAGGACTCTTTAAAGTAGAGACACTACATACTGATATACACCTGAACATCAGCAGGAGAGGACTCTTTAAAGTAGAGACACTACATACTGATATACACCTGAACATCAGCAGGAGAGGACTCTTTAAAGTAGAGACACTACATACTGATATACACCTGAACATCAGCAGGAGAGGACTCTTTAAAGTAGAGACAGCTACATACTGATATACACCTGAACATCAGCAGGAGAGGACTCTTTAAAGTAGAGACACTACATACTGATATACACCTGAACATCAGCAGGAGAGGACTCTTTAAAAGTAGAGACAACTACATACTGATATACACCTGAACATCAGCAGGAGAGGACTCTTTAAAGGTAGAGGACACTACATACTGATATACACCTGAACATCAGCAGGAGAGGACTCTTTAAAGTAGAGACACTACATACTGATATACACCTGAACATCAGCAGGAGAGGACTCTTAAAGTAGAGACACTACATACTGATATACACCTGAACATCAGCAGGAGAGGACTCTTTAAAGTAGAGACACTACATACTGATATACACCTGACATCAGCAGAGAGGACTCTTTAAAGTAGAGACACTACATAAGGATATACAAACCTGAACATCAGGCAGGAGAGCACTCTTTAAAGTAGAGGACACTACTACATACTGATATATACACCTGGAACATCATGCAGGAGAGGGACTCTTTAAAGTGAGGACACTACATACTGATATACACCTGAAACATCAGCAGGAGAGGACTCTTTAAAAGTAGAGACCACTACATACTGATAATACCACCTGAACATCATCAGGAGAGGGACTCTTTAAAGTAGAGAACAACTACAGTACTGATATACACCTGAACATCAGAGGAGAGCACTCTTTTAAAGTAGAGGACACTAACCATACTGATAGACAACCTGAACCATCATCAGGAGAGGTACACCCCTTTAAAGTAGAGACCCATCTACATACTGGATATACAACTGAACAATCAGACAGGTAACTGAGGGACTCTTTAATGTAGAGACACTACATACTAGATATACACCTGACATCAGCAGAGAGGAACTCTTTAAAGTAGATACACTACATACTGAATACAGCCTGAACACTCAGCAGGAGAGGGACTCTTGAAATGGTAGCAGACACTACATACTGATATACACCTGAACATCAGCAGGAGAGGACTCTTTAAAGTAGATACACTACATACTGATATACACCTGAACATCAGCAGGAGAGGACTCTTTAATGTAGAGACACTACATACTGATATACACCTGAACATCAGCAGGAGAGGACTCTTTAAAGTAGAGACACTACATACTGATATACACCTGAACATCAGCAGGAGAGGACTCTTTAAAGTAGAGACACTACATACTGATATACACCTGAACATCAGCAGGAGAGGACTCTTTAAAGTAGAGACACTACATACTGATATACACCTGAACATCAGCAGGAGAGGACTCTTTAAAGTAGAGACACTACATACTGATATACACCTGAACATCAGCAGGAGAGGACTCTTTAAAGTAGAGACACTACATACTGATATACACCTGAACATCAGCAGGAGAGGACTCTTTAATGTAGAGACACTACATACTGATATACACCTGAACATCAGCAGGAGAGGACTCTTTAAAGTAGATACACTACATACTGATATACACCTGAACATCAGCAGGAGAGGACTCTTTAAGTAGATACACTACATACTGATATACACCTGAACATCAGCAGGAGAGGACTCTTTAATGTAGAGACACTACATACTGATATACACCTGAACATCAGCAGGAGAGGACTCTTTAAAGTAGAGACACTACATACTGATATACACCTGAACATCAGCAGGAGAGGACTCTTTAAAGTAGAGACACTACATACTGATATACACCTGAACATCAGCAGGAGAGGACTCTTTAAAGTAGAGACACTACATACTGATATACACCTGAACATCAGCAGGAGAGGACTCTTTAAAGTAGATACACTACATACTGATATACACCTGAACATCAGCAGGAGAGGACTCTTTAAAGTAGATACACTACATACTGATATACACCTGAACATCAGCAGGAGAGGACTCTTTAATGTAGAGACACTACATACTGATATACACCTGAACATCAGCAGGAGAGGACTCTTTAAAGTAGAGACACTACATACTGATATACACCTGAACATCAGCAGGAGAGGACTCTTTAAAGTAGAGACACTACATACTGATATACACCTGAACATCAGCAGGAGAGCACTCTTTAAAGTAGAGACACTTACATACTGATATACACCTGAACATCATGCAGGAGAGGACTCTTTAAAGTAGAGACACTACATACTGATATACACCTGAACATCATCAGGAGAGGACTCTTTAAAGTAGAGACACTACATACTGATATACACCTGAACATCAGCAGGAGAGGACTCTTTAATGTAGAGACACTACATACTGATATACACCTGAACATAATGCAGGAGAGGACTCTTTAAAGTAGAGACACTACATACTGATATACACCTGAACATCAGCAGGAGAGGACTCTTTAAAGTAGAGACACTACATACTGATATACACCTGAACATCAGCAGGAGAGGCACTCTTTAAAGTAGAGACATTACATACTGATATACACCTGAACATCAGGCAGGAGAGGACTCTTTAAAGTAGAGACACTACATACTGATATACACCTGAACATCTGCAGGAGAGGACTCTTTAAAGTAGAGACACTACATACTGATATACACCTGAACATCAGCAGGAGAGGACTCTTTAAAGTAGAGACACTACATACTGATATACACCTGAACATCAGCAGGAGAGGACTCTTTAAAGTAGAGACACTACATACTGATATACACCTGAACATCAGCAGGGAGAGGACTCTTTAAAGTAGAGACACTACATACTGATATACACCTGAACATCAGCAGGAGAGCACTCTTTAAAGTAGAGACACTACATACTGATATACACCTGAACATCATCAGGAGAGGACTCTTTAAAGTAGAGACACTACATACTGATATACACCTGAACATCAGCAGGAGAGGACTCTTTAAAGTAGAGACACTACATACTGATATACAACCTGAACATCATCAGGAGAGGACTCTTTAAAGTAGAGACACTACATACTGATATACACCTGAACATCAGCAGGAGAGGCACTCTTTAAAGTAGAGACACTACATACTGATATACACCTGAACATCATCAGGAGAGGACTCTTTAAAGTAGAGACACTACATACTGATATACACCTGAACATCAGCAGGAGAGGACTCTTTAATGTAGAGACACTACATACTGATATACACCTGAACATCAGCAGGAGAGGACTCTTTAAAGTAGATACACTACATACTGATATACACCTGAACATCAGCAGGAGAGGACTCTTTAATGTAGAGACACTACATACTGATATACACCTGAACATCAGCAGGAGAGGACTCTTTAAAGTAGATACACTACATACTGATATACACCTGAACATCAGCAGGAGAGGACTCTTTAAATGTAGAGACACTACATACTGATATACACCTGAACATCAGCAGGAGAGGACTCTTTAAAGTAGAGACACTACATACTGATATACACCTGAACATTCAGCAGGAGAGGACTCTTTAAAGTAGAGACACTACATACTGATATACACCTGAACATCAGCAGGAGAGGACTCTTTAAAGTAGAGACCTACATACTGATATACACCTGACTCAGCAGGAGAGGACTCTTTAAAGTAGAGACACTACATACTGATATACACCTGAACATCAGCAGGAGAGGACTCTTTAAAGTAGAGACACTACATACTGATATACACCTGAACATCAGCAGAGAGGACTCTTTAATGTAGAGACACTACATACTGATATACACCTGAACATCAGCAGGAGAGTACTCTTTAAAGTAGATACACTACATACTGATATACACCTGAACATCAGCAGGAGAGGACTCTTTAAAGTAGATACACTACATACTGATATACACCTGACTCAGCAGGAGAGGACTCTTTAATGTAGAGACCTACATACTGATATACACCTGAACATCAGCAGGAGAGGACTCTTTAAAGTAGAGACCTACATACTGATATACACCTGAACATCAGCAGGAGAGGACTCTTTAAAGTAGAGCACTACATACTGATATACACCTGAACATCAGCAGGAGAGGACTCTTTAAAGTAGAGACACTACATACTGATATACACCTGAACATCAGCAGGAGAGGACTCTTTAAAGTAGAGTACACTACATACTGATATACACCTGAACATCAGCAGGAGAGGACTCTTTAAAGTAGAGACACTACATACTGATATACACCTGAACATCAGCAGGAGAGGACTCTTTAATGTAGAGACACTACATACTGATATACACCTGAACATCAGCAGGAGAGGACTCTTTAAAGTAGAGACACTACATACTGATATACACCTGAACATCAGCAGGAGAGGACTCTTTAAAGTACAGACACTACATACTGATATACACCTGAACATCAGCAGGAGAGGACTCTTTAAAGTAGAGACACTACATACTGATATACCACTGAACATCAGCAGGAGAGGACTCTTTAAAGTAGAGACACTACATACTGATATACAACCTGAACATCAGCAGGAGAGGACT